GAAAGGTATATAAATAATTACAATTAATTATGATTAATTACAATTATTTATATCAGCTGCCAGTAGTAACTGTAGCCGAATTAAATTGTCATCAACTAATCTGTTCGTCCAGCGAACATTCAGTGTAAGTTCATATCAACTCTAAGAAAGGATATTTTCGTGGCCACAGAAAATATCTTTCCGACAGTATTAATGCATTAGAGCATGTAGCTGGATCAGAAACGTAAAGGGACATTATTCACAAGTGGTAACAGAATCAGAAACTCATGTAATTCGTGCACAAAAGTTATTAACTAAATGCTAACACATAACTAGTCTAAACAAACAAACAAACAAATAAACATACACTTTCCCCTGGGTTTTAAGCTTTGTCTTCTTCTATTTTTTTGTAAAAATGTTATGTGACCAAAACAGAAGTAGCCAGAAGATCAATAGAAATAACACAGCAGGATTCCCTTGGTATCAGACCAGATGAAACATCCAATTTCAGGTAGGGTTGTAAAAAAAAATCCTCTGGTCATCTAAGGTCTCCTGGTAGATAAAAGTCATTATAGGGTCCCTCTCGACTGAGATTGGCGACAACTAACAGCTGCAGAAATGCACCGCACACCCCTTCAGGTTAGAGATTACCCCAAAACTCTCTCCTGTAATGATCTCATTATGTGCTGGCCGCATTCGGTGATGTCTTTCTTGATTAGTGCCTCTCCTACATTCCACCGTGCCAGAAGGAGATTGCTGATTCTGATCTTTCTTTCTAAAAAGGTCACGTCCGTACCCAGGGGCAATCACAGGAGGAAACTGCACACGACTGCTGTCCTGCTGATCTCGTGTCAGTATAGCTGACCAAAGATCAGTGTAATGGATCTGGAGGTAATGAAAAGAAAGTGGCTGATAGCTGAAATAGCAGTTTGTGTTTCTAAGGTCCAAAACACACTCAAGTATGTGAACCCAAACACTTCCAGCCACGCAGACTCGATTTCACGCGTCGCTGTTTTCCAAAATGTGTCAGAACAAGGAGGTCTACAATAGCTGGAGCTGTTAGCAATCCCATTTATCTCATTGGTAGTTGCTCAGCTAGCACAGTAGTTAAACTGCCAACATTTTAACAACTAGCTACGTAAATCATAGCACAATTTTTCATTTAAATAATACTGATTAGCAAAAATCTGTGACCAACTTTTTGTGAAATCTGCATTTAAAAATCTCCTGACCTCACAAAAACTGAATCCAGATTGTGTGGATTCTAGAGAAATGACTAGATTTCAACTGCAAAAATTCACACACACAAACAAAGGTAAATTCATTCAAATGGTTTGCAAGTCATTTCAACCAAATTATTAAAACAATCACCTTTTACAGCCATTTGTACATAAAACGGACTACGCTGGTTGTGCTATAAATTTATGAATGCAGCCTGTGTAGACTATAAAAATAAATAAAAAATGTATTGCTTTGATTTACTTTGAGGTTTCCAGTCCTTTTATCTCAGTACATTTGTATCTGACTGCAATCTTAAAGATGAATTCTTTTGGCATGTCATTATAGATTCAGCAGCTGGCCAATCATTCACATCTGCGTTTACATAAAGTATGTTTCTAGCCTAAGCTTTCATATTTTGTCGAAGATACACAGAAGCTACACTCAGTCCAATATGCTATGTTAATATGAAGGATTTTTCACTATGTAATACTTGTATTTTGAATTAACGTATAGCTTTGTATTGTGTTTTAGGGTTGAAGGAAAACATACTGGTAATTTTCTGCCAGGACATTATCCAATAACAGTGTAGGTAAGATTAAAGACAATACTGAAACTGCACTCGCATTGAATTTTAGAAAGTGAAACATGTTTGGTTACAGTACTACCGGCTTAATTTTCTTTTGTCCTACCCATGCAGCCTTGGTTACATCAGCAGAAATTTTATTTCAGAGGCAGTGGCACTGAACTTAACACAGTCCAGCTTTCGAGTTTAAATTTAGTAGGGCAGTCTGTACCCAGAATAGGACGGCCCAGCCCAACCAGACTGCCTGCCAAGCTCTTCTGACAGACATGCGGCGCATTAGACTGTCAACATCTCTGGTACACTGGGAGTACTGTCGCTCCACGCTGACAGGCACAACAGAGTCGTTCCTTCTGCACCACACTCTGTGTTCCCCCTCGGGCTGTCACTGTTCAGACCGCCGGCCTGTGGGACACTTCAGTTTCCTGTGGACTCAACAGCATGAAGAGCACCGCTGCTATCTCTGTTTGAGAGCTATGAGTCAGTGTTGCTAATTCTGATAGTCTAAGGTAGATGTGCTTAGAAAGTAGATATCGTAGCAGGATAGTCCCCCGTGTGGCAGCCAGCTGGGGTAGGTAAAAACATTCTGGCATGGTAAAAAGTGAGCACTTCCATCAGACAAGTAACATAACTAGGCCCACGCACATTTTTTTTGTGCCGAATATGTGAGGAAAATGTGTGGAATTCTGCAAAATAGATTTAAAAGTGTGGAGATGTGTTCAATGGAGCTGGGAGCATAACATTTTTTGGTATCTGAAAGCAAATTCAGATTTCTTTAAAGCTCCCATGATATCAAACCATGAAATGAAAACTGATGACTCATCTTGTACTCATGAATATATCCATTTTTTGTCCAATTAAATGCTGTCTAGAATAGAGTCCACTTTTTCAGCAGCCCTTTTTCCAGAAGTATTTTTCCGATTCATTTTTCCCATAGGGATTTTTGCAAGTCTTTGTTAAAGAGTTATAAGCCAACCCACCAACCACACGGTGAATCACAACATCACCAACTTTGATTTGAAGCAAAAACGTTTAAAATCAGTATAAGGTATAAGGCTGTGTATTTAAATGGCTTTAATGTAGGAAACAAAAACAATCCCATGAAGCACTACAAATGACAATTGAATTGGCCTAAAAAGTAAATAAATATAAAACTGCTCAAAGCATGTTTATTGTATATATAGAAGAAACATATTTTACAAATATGCATATATAGACAAATATTTAAGCAGTTTGAGAGCAAAGGGAAACTGACTATAAAGTCATTCACAGTTCTTCAAGGGAGTAGGCAGGCACTAAGCAGTTAATTTGGTGTGATTTTCTTGTTTTGATTCTCTGATTGGTGGGAATTTTTTTGAAAATGATGGGTTTTATTCAGCGCTGATAGCCTTGTGGGCCGTTGCGCTACGGGCGTCCCGAATTCGAATCCCGACTCGAGGACCTTACATATCAGGGACTAGACCTATATTATTGGAATCATGAATTTGTTTAATAAATTGTTCTATTGGATATTTGTGTCTTTAATATTTGTGTTATGTATGTAGTAACCATTTTATAAAGCAAGAAAACACTCCGCAATAATGAAATCTGATGGCTTCAACAACTATCAATTAAAAATTTGCAGCTCACAGTAGGTCTGTCTTTAAAGATTTGTTGTAGTTTAAAAATCTATTCCCTATGGAAAAAATTAATGGAATTTCTTAGGGATGCACCAAATGTTCGCAAACCGAAATTGTTCGGCCGAAAATAGCAAAATAAGCTCTTTTGGTGTTTAGCCGAATAAGCGAAAAGACTGAATAAATTGTACCAAACAATGACGTGACGCAATCAAACAGAGACACGCACTAATGCAGCAAACATGTCGGCAGTGTGGAAGCATTTAAAATTGTCAGAGAAAGATGCAAAAATCATTACAAGCACTGACAGCGAGAGACTGCTTAGTGCTGCATCTCACGTCTCCGATGAGAAGAGGAAGTATGTTAACTGTATGATGATTGAAATCGCGAAATGGCCTTAAACAATTAAATTAAAAACTGCAGAACGTCATGTTTTCTAATACACGCACAAACGGCATGTTTATAAACAGCACTGCGCGAGCTCGCGGCGCCAGGGTTCAAAGTCCAAAGCGCGAGGAAAATCTATGCTGAAACAGCGTTACTCGTCAGCTGCTCAGTAACATTTTTATGAATTTTTACAAGGCATGGATGTGACAATGTGATACGTGCAACAAACATCTTCCCAAGTGGGATCTGAAATATTTTCTAATGTTTTAAAAGAATTCTCTTCTGCTCAGCAAGGTTGCATTTATTTGTACAGCAAGAAATACATGCCTGATTCAAGAAGGGGGTCTCAAAAATTACCAATAAATAAATATATATATACATATATATATATTTTTTTTTTACTAACTTATTAATTTTAAGTTAAATTGTGCTAATGTCTGCTAGAATGTTAAAAAATGTTCAGTGTTAATTTATGCAATGGTGACAAAAATTTGCAAAATACATGGGGGGAAAAACGCGAAAAACCATGTTCAGTATTCGGCCTTTGGCCCAGTGTTTCATTTTGTTCGGCTTCGGCCAAGAATTTTCATTTCGGTGCATCCCTAGAATTTCTACTTCTGGAACCTGGCTGTTGCTATCTATAAGAATATGCCTCCCACTAATATTAAACGCCTCTGCCTAGAAATAACAAATCATAGGTTAAAGAATGTGACATAAATTAATGTCGAAACGTGATGTAAATTAATATTACCCCTGACTTCCTGTTTCAATAGAAAATCTGTCAACACAGGACTGAGAACTGTGTCCATCAAGCAGTTTTTATGGGGTCTTTAATAAACGAACATCCAAGGGGCACATTAGAATTGTAGATGTATGTGAATTCTGTGAAATCTGTGGCACATTCAGTAGAATTTAGCACAAGCCTGGTTATAAGTGATTTATTGTGCATTTAAAAAATATAACAAAGAATCTTTCACATGATTCGTTTTAACATTTCCCAATGCACTGAGCTCTACAGACTGAAGCGTCAAGCACATGACATTACGAGGGTGGTGCCTGGCTAAAAACCAAAAATTTGCTGCTTTCCTGCTATCAACCATGTAAAATTGCCTTTCCATGATGGTATCTGTAAAGTTTTCACATGGAAATCAAAGTTGCATGTGACACTTCCATTTGAAGGGGACTTTTTCCGCAACACTGAAAATGATTAGCTCTACCTGTTGCTGAGGGTACTGCATCCCTCCCATGCCCACTTGGCCACGCCCCTGCATTCCCATTGGGTATCGGTGAGGAGTGGGTGATCCGTATGGCTGCCCTGGATATGTTCCGCCCGGCTGAGAGTAGGGACTGTTGCCCATCCCATACATCTGAGAACGCTTCATGGCCATAGGGTCCATAGGTGCCACCTGTTGAGAGGAGTATCAACATATTAGCATAAAGAACAGCAATAGCGATGATTTCCAACGTATGGCAGTCTGTGTGTGAACATATTTATACGACTATTATGCCTGAGCAGACTGGAATACAAATAGCAATCATAAGGTTGAGCGGTTCAGTAAATGAAGAGATTCAGGGAAACGTGCCATCGACTGATATGGGTG